TATGTCCTGAATGGTTTTGCCTAGATTTTCTTCTAGGGTTTTTATGGTGTTAGGTCTTATGTTTAAGTCTTTAATCCATCTGGAGTTAATTTTAGTGTAAGGTGTCAGGAAGGGGTCCAGTTTCTGCTTTCTGCACATGGCTAGCCAGCTTTCCCAACATCATTTATTGAACAGGGAATCCTTTCCCCATTGCTTGTTTTTGTCTGGTTTGTCAAAGATCAGATGGTTGTAGATATGTTGTGTTGCCTCCGAGACCTCTGTTCTGTTCCGTTGGTCTATATCTCTGTTTTGGTACCAGTACCATGCTGTTTTGATTACTGTAGCCTTGTAGTATAGTTTGAAGTCCGGTAGTGTGATGCCTCCCGCTTTGTTCTTTTTGCTTAGAATTGACTTGGCTATGCGGGCTCTCTTTTGGTTCCATATGAAGTTTAAGGTGATTTTTTCCAGTTCTGTGAAGAAGGTCATTGGTAGCTTTATGGAGATAGCATTGAATCTGTAAATTACTTTGGGCAGTATGGCCATTTTCACGATATTGATTCTTCCTAACCATGAACATGGAATGTTTCTCCATCTGTTTGTGTTCTCTCTTATTTCATTGAGCAGTGGCTTGTAGTTCTCCTTGAAGAGTTCCTTTACATTCCTTGTTAGTTGTATTCCTAGGTATTTTATTCTCTTTGTGGCAATTGTGAATGGAAGTTTGTTCTTGATTTGGCTCTCTTTAAGTCTGTTATTGGTGTATAGGAATGCATGTGATTTTTGCACATTGATTTTGTATCCTGAGACTTTGCTGAACTTGCTTATCAGTTTCAGGAAATTTGGGGCTGAGACGATGGGGTCTTCTAGATATACAATCATTTCATCTGCAAATAGAGACAATTTGACTTCCTCCTTTCCTATTTGAATGTTCTTTATTTCTTTTTCTTGCCTGATTGCTCTGGCTAGAACTTCTAACACTATATTGAATAGCAGTGGTGAGAGAGGGCATCCTTGTCTGGTGCCACATTTCTAGGGGAATGCTTGCAGTTTTTGCCCATTCAGTACGATATTGGCTGTTGGTTTGTCATAAATAGCTTTTATTATTTTGAGATACATTCCATCAATACCTAGCTTATTGAGGGTTTTTAGCATAAAGGGCTGTTGAATTTTGTCAAAGGCCTTCTCTGCATCAATTGAGATAATCATGTGGTTTTTGTCTTTGGTTCTGTTTGTGTGGTGAATTACGTTTATAGACTTGCGTATGATGAACCAGCCTTGCATCCCCGGGATGAAGCCTACTTGATCATGGTGGATAAGCTTTTTGATGTGCTGTTGCAATCGGCTTGTCAGTATTTTATTGAAGATTTTTGCATCTATGTTCATCATGGATATTGGCCTGAAGTTTTCTTTTCTTGTTGAGTCTCTGCCAGGTTTTGGAATCAGGATTATGTTGGTCTCATAAAATGATTTGGGAAGAATTCCCTCTTTTTGTATTGTCTGGAATAGTTTCAGAAGGAATGGTACCAGCTCCTCTTTGTATGTCTGGTAGAATTTGGCTGTGAACCCGTCTGGACCTGGGCTTTTTTTGGATGGTAAGCTCTTAACTGCTGCCTCAACTTCAGACCTTGTTATGGGTCTGTTCAGGGTTTCGGCTTCTTCCTAGTTTAGGCTTGGGAGGAGGCAAGTGTCCAGGAATTTATCCATTTCTTCCAGGTTTATTAGTTTATGTGCATAGAGTTGTTTGTAATAATCTCTGATGATGGTTTGAATTTCTGTGGAATCTGTGGTGATATCCCCTTTATTGTTTTTTATTGTATCAATTTGGTTATTCTGTCTTTTCTTTTTTATTAATCTGGCTAGTGGTCTGTCTATTTTGTTGATCTTTTCAAAAAACCAGCTCCTGGATTTATTGATTTTTTGAGGGTTTTTTGTGTCTCTATCTCCTTCCGTTCTGCTCTGATCTTAGCTATTTCTTGTCTTCTGCTAGAGTTTGAGTTTTTTTGATCTTGCTCCTCTAGCTCTTTCAGTTTTGATGATAGGGTGTCAATTTTTGATCTCTCCTTGCTTCTCATGTGGGCACTTATTGCTATATATTTTCCTCTAGAGACTGCTTTAAATGTGTCCCAGAGATTCTGGTATGTTGTGTCTTCATTCTCGTTGGTTTCGAAGAACATCTTTATTTCTGTCTTCATTTCATTGTTTAATCCAGTCAACATTCAAGAGCAAGTTGTTCAGTTTTCATGAAGCTGTGTGGTTCTGGGTTAGTTTTTGAATCCTGAGTTCTAACTTGATTGCAATGTGGTCTGAGAGACTGTTTGTTACGATTTCCGTTCTTTTGCATTTGCTGAGGAGTGATTTACTCCCAATTATGTGGTCAATTTTAGAGTAGGTGTGATGTGGTGCTGAGAAGAATGTATATTCTGTGGATTTGGGGTGGAGAGTTCTGTAAATGTCTATTAGGTTTGCTTGGTCCAGGTCTGAGTTCAAGTCCTGGATACCCTTGTTAATTTTCTGTCTGGTTGATCTGTCTAATATTGACAATGGGGTGTTAAAGTCTCCCACTGTTATTGTGTGGGAGTCTAAGTCTCTTTGTAAGTCATTAAGAACTTGCCTTATGTATCTGGGTGCTCCTGTATTGGGTGGGTATATAATTAGGATCGTTAGCTCCTCTTGTTGTATTGATCATTTTACCATTATGTAATGTCCTTCTTTGTCTCTTTTGATCTTTGTTGCTTTAAAGTCTAATTTATCAGAGATGAGAATTGCAACTCCTGCTTTTCTTTGCTCTCCATTTGCTTGGTAAATCTTCCTCCATCCCTTTATTTTGAGCCTTTGTGTACCCTTGCACGTGAGATGGGTTTCCTGGATACAGCACACCGATGGGTTTTGACTTTTTATCCAATTTGCCAGTCTGTGTCTTTTGATTGGGGCATTTAGTCCATTTACATTTAGGGTTAATATTGTTATGTGCGAATGTGATACTGCCATTTTGGTGCTAGCTGGGTGTGTTGCCCTTTAGTTGAGCTGGTACTTGTTGTTCCTTTATATGTGTAGAGCCTCTTTCAGGAGCTCTTGTAGAGCTGGCCTGGTAGTGACGAAATCTCTGAGTACTTGCATGTTCCCAAAGGATTTTATTTTTCCTTCACCTGACCTTTCTGTCTGGCTGCCCTTAGTATTTTTTCCTTCATTTCAACCCTGGTGAATCTGACGATTATGTGCCTTGGGGTTGCTCTTCTTGACGAATATCTTTGTGGTGTTCTCTGTATTTCCTGGACTTGAATGTTTGCCTGCCTTTCTAGGTTGGGGAAGTTTTCCTGGATAATATCCTGAAGAGTATTTTCCAGCTTGGATTCATTCTCTTCGTCGCATTCAGGTACGCCTATCAAACGTAGGTCTTTTCACATAGTCCCACATTTCTTGGAGACTTTGTTCATTCCTTTTTACCCTTTTTTCTCCAGTCTTGCCTTCCCATTTTATTTCATTGAGTTGATCTTCGACCTCTGATATCCTTTCTTCTGCTTGGTCAATTCAGCTGTTGATACTTGTGCATGCTTCACGAAGTTCTCGTGTTACGTTTTTCAGCTCCATCAATTCACTTATATTCCTTTCTATTTTGTCCATTCTCATTAGCACTTCGTCAAATCTTTTTTCAAGGTTCTTAGTTTCTTTGCATTTGGTTAGAACATGTTCTTTAAGTTCACAGAAGTTTCTTACTACCCACCTTCTGAAGTCTGATTCTGTCATTTCATCACACTCGTTCTCCCTCCAACCTTGTTCCCTTGCTGGCGAGGAGTTGTGATCCCTTTTAGGAGGAGAGGTGTTCTGGTTTCAGGTGTTTTCATCCTTTTTGCGCTGGTTTCTTCCCATCTTTAAGGATTTATCAACCTGTCGACTTTGTAGTTGCTGGCTTTCAGATTGGGTCTCAAATCTTTCAGATTGTCGTTCTGTTTGTTGATGATGAGGTTATTTCTGTTTCTTGGTTTTCCTTCTGACAGTCTGGCCCCTCTGCTGTAGGTCTGCTGAGGTTCACTCCAGGCCCTGCTTGCCTGGGGTTCACCTGCAGCAGCTGCTGAACAGTAAGGGTTGTTACCAGTTTTCTTCTTCTGCTATCTTTGTCCCAGAAGGATACCCGCCTAGTGTCAACCTGATTTCTCCTTTATCAGGTGGCTCTTTGGATATATAGGGGTCAGGGAGCTGCTTGAGGAGACAGTCTCTTCTTTATAGGAGCTCAAATGGTGAGCTGTGAGCTCTGTTGTTCATTCAGAGTTGCTTGGCAGGTACGTTTAGGTCTGCTGCAGCAGAGCTAATAAACTGCTTTTTGTTCCCAGGTGCTCTGTCCCAGGGATTTAGTGCTTTATGAGTTTCGGTTATGCTGCTGCCTTCTCTCTTTTTTTTTTTTTTCCTTTCAGAGCTGCCCTGCCCAGCAAGGAGGCAGCCTAGTCATTGTCGGCCTGTAGAGGCTTTGCTGAGCTGCTGTGGGCTCCGCCCAGCTGTCCAGTGAACTTCCCTGCAGTCCTGTTTATATGGGTGTAGTTAGAACTGCTTTGGTGATGGTGGCCCGCCTCTGTTGAGGCGGAGTCTCTCTGCTGTGGCGGGTTGCCTTGGCAACGGTGGGCTGCCTTGGCAATGGCAGGTTGCCATGGCAACGGCGGGCTGCCTCAGCATTGGCTTACTACCTCCATCGTGGCGGGCTGCCTCGGTAATGGCAGACGCCCCTCCCGCACAGAGCTGGGCCGTCCTGGGTTCAGCTGCGCTTGCTGTGAAACTCTCAATCCAGAGTTTCTGGTTGCTGATCTTTTGTGGGGGTGGGACCAGCCGAGCCTGATCGCCTGGCTCCCTGCCTCAGAGCCTTTTTTAAGTTGGAGTTCCAGTCGCCTGCTGAAGAGGTGCCAGGGTCTGTTTGTTTTCCCCTGCGGCCACTCACTGCGCTGGCTTAAACAGCGGCACTGAGGTTTGTGGTGCTTTTTTTTTTTTTTTTGCCCTGGAATCTACTGTCCTGGTTCTCTGCTCAGTCCCCTTTTTAATCAGACGAATGGGCGACTTCCCGTGGCTCCAATCACCAGCCAAAAGGGCACCCAGACCGGTGTATTTTGTATGGAGAACCGCGGCTCCGGGGCGCCGACAAAGTAGCCGCGCTGGGCAAAGCAGCAGCGCCGGCCGGCACAGCCACACTGGCCGAAACAGCCGCGCTGGTGACCGTGGAGCTCCTCCGCCCGGGAATTTCCTAGTCTGTGGGCCATAAAAACGCCGCGTCCACTTACCCTCTGCGCTTTCACTGGGAGCTGCAATCCTGAGCTGTTCCTAAACGGCCATCTTGGCTTCTCCCCCCATGTTTTCTTTTCAATGCATTTGATGATTCATTGGCAGTATTTTGTGATGACACCATATTAGTGATAATAAGAATGTTCTTGGACCCAGTTAATGATGGATTAATGAGAACATTCTGAACTGCTGAAGTTGCAGGAATTGAAGCTTTTAAAGCTGGAAACTGCGATGTAGGCATCTGTACTGTAAACCTTTTTCCTGTGAAGGACATGGGAGTCCCCACTTTAGTTGAAACAGACATGGTCTGTGGGGTTGGTGTGCCTAGTGTGGGAGTACTTGGTCTGCTAGTCACCAAACCAACACTTAACTGTGGGACTGTTACTCTTCCCGCAGAAGTTGATGCCTTTTTCTGTAAAGATTTCAGCCTATAGTTTGGAGCTGTTAAGCAATACCTATCAGGTGGCAACGTAGGACCTGAACATGGCTTGATTAATGGCAAAGGCGCTTGATTTCTTTTCCTTGCGATATCTAATAAAAAAATCTGTTGGGGGAGGAGAGGTAAAAGACTGGTCAGCGCGGCACTGGATTGCCAATCGCACATCGTCTGCATCAACGATAGCTTTCTTAGCATGGCTTGAATAAATTTTTGCATCATCTAGAATTGTGGTCACATATCGGAAGGCAAACTCCAACATCTGATTTATAACTCTTGGCTCATATTCTGTAATCCCCATATCCTACAGGATTTGTGCCATCATCTGGGCACCTTTCGGCATGCTCTTGGGAGAAGCCATCTTGCCAGACTCCATGATATCCGATGATCAGACTTCTCGAGCTAAATCACCCACATTAATGTATTTCAGTCCTGATTTTGATGCAAGTTCTTTGCCTAGTGTGGTTTTTCCAACCCATGGTGTACCGGTGAGCAGGATGTTCGGAAGCAACATAGTCCTCGCTGCGACTGCTCCGATCACCTCGCTCAAGCGCCCTTTGCACTACGGGAAGGAGCTGGAAGGGGTGGGTGGCAGCGAGAGCCCATGGGCCCCAAGGACCCCGAGGCCCACTGCGGTGCCCCTGGCCTGCCCCGGTGGCCCAGCCGCGGCCCACTCTTGGGCATGTCTTTATCAGCAGTGTGAAAACAGACTAATACACCACATGTGACAAGTGCCACAATCATTCTTTTTCTTTTCTTTTTTTTTTTTTTTTCCCCACAACTTTCCAGCTGGACAGGACATACTATCAACTTCTGGCCAGAATCTGGCCATCAGGCAAGTTTGCTTTTCCCTTAGAGTGTGTTTACATTATTGTTGTTGTCAGTACTTGAAACACCTTCAGATGGACCATCATCTCCCTGCTTCCCTACTTCCCATCACTCCTCACCTAGCTTTTCACAGTCCCAGCCTTGACCCCGGAAGCCCTCATTATTGAAGGCGTAATCCCCGGATCAGCCACATCACGTCAGTATTCCCAGGTCGTTGATTCTCAGGTCCTCAGGTGCAGAATCTCAGGTCCCCACCCCAGCCCCTCTGAATGACAATCTGCATTTAATTAACAAGATCTCCAGGCAAAGCCTATGTACTGGAAGTGTTGAGAAGCACAGGTTGAAGCAGCTGAGTTTGTGACCTTTGTCCTATGTAACTGAAGCGCAGGAGTTAAGATAGACACCTGGGTTCATGAGTTCTCAGCTTCCTAGACACTAATTTTTCAGCCCTGTCAAGATCTTAGAACAACCACATTTATTTCTATCTGGCTGGATGAGTCTAATAATTGTCTGTGATGTCCTCAGAATCTGAGACAGATCATACAGACTATTCCTCACCTTTCAGTACTTGGTGAGCTCTTCTAAGGATCTGAAGGGACTGAAAAGTTCTTGGACAGAATGGGAAAGAGCTCCAACTCATCATCTTGTCTCTAGAAGCAGTCTTTTCCATGGAAATTTTATAAGTAACTTTTTCAGATTATATGAGCAATTCATATTTATTATAGTAAATTTAGAAAATAAAGAAAAGCATGCAGAGTAAGTAAGTTAGTCTTAGCGCCACATAGAAGGTACATTACCACCAAATAGCTATTTTTTTCCTCCTACAAATACACTTACACACACCTGGGCATGGTGGTGCATGCCTGTAATCCCAGCTACTCAGGAGGCTGAGGCAAGAGAATTGGTTGAACTGGGACCTGGGAGGCAGAGGTTGCAGAGAGCTGAGATCATGCAACTGCACCCCAGCCTGGGTTACAGAGCGAGACTCCGTCTCAAAAAAAGAAAAAGTACCTTATTGTGTAAATTAAAACTTTTTGCACCATCATAGAAAGTCCTAGAATGTAATTGTTCATTCTTTAGTTCTAATAAAAGGAGCCAGTGCCATCCACTAAGTCAACAGTCACTCGTGGTCTCAACACGTAAAGGACATGTCATCTCCACACCGCCATCAAGAACCCACAGATCCTTACTGCTTTAACACAAAGCTGGGATTTTTTTGGTACAGTTTATTATTTCTTCAGAATTCTTGAACTGCTTTTTCTTTGTCTTAGAGAGAAGAAATATACACTCTCACCATGTTGCTCACATCTTCTAGCTTTTCCTCTTTCCAGCTCCTGAAATACATTCCTCCATTTTTCTTCTTAAAGATATTCCCCAGGAGACACTGACTTCTTTCTTCAATTTCAATGGATTCTTTCTGTCTACTGCAGAGACGTTATTCTGTTTTCTTTCTGATGGAGGCCAATGTTAGTCCAGCTGTTTCTGGGGTCCCATATCTTCTTCTCTAGGACTTTTTTCTAAGATTTTTTTTTCTTTTTTCTTTTTTTGTTCACCTGCTGCACAATTAAGGTAGGTAGGTCAATGTTATTGGCCGGCTTTTTTTTTTTCTTTTTTGAGACAGGGTCTTGCTTTGTCACCCAGGCTGGAGTGCAGTGGTGCAGTCATGGCTCACTGCAGGCTGGAGCTCCGTGGACTCAAGGGATCCTCCCACGTCAGCCTCCTGAGTGGCTGGGACTACAGAAGCACAGCACCATACCTGGCTAATTTCTTAAATTTTTGTAGAGCCAGGGTTTTGCCATGTTGCCCAGGCTGGTCTTGCACTCCCAAGCTCCAGTGATTTGCCTGCCTTGGCTTCCCCAAGTGCTGGGATTACAGATGTGAGTTACTGCACACAGCAGAATTTTCATCCATAAGGAAGATCTTCAAAAAAGGGTAGGATCTGGAGATCTTTTCATGCCTGAAATAAACTTTGTACTTCCTCTTGCATGAAGGTAGGGCTGAGTTCCAATGTCTAGTCCTGAAGTCGTTTTTACTTGCAGTTTGGAAGAAATTGTTCCACATTTCCGTGGCAGTGAATATTGCTGATGACAAGTTTGATGCAAGTCTGTTTCTTAATTTCTTTATAGGTGAATGTTTTCCTCTCTTGGAGCTTTTAGGATATTCATTTTATCTTTTAAAGTTCTGAAATTTTGTGAGGATATGCTAAATTCATTTAGCTAAATTAATTCTAATATGTCAAACTAATTCTAATTAATGTGTGAAATTAATTTCGTTCTGAGATTTCATGAGTGTAGGTGTTTTAAATGTACTGTTCACATGAGATGGCCCGTGTCTCCTTACACTTCTGGACACTTGTTATTTCTTTAATATTTTTCTCCCCTCTGTCATCTCTAATATATCTTTCCTGAGCTTCTTATCGTTTCTGTCTTGCATTTTGTTCTAGGAAAATCCCTCCAGTTTATTTTCCAGTCATTCAATTTAATTTTTCATTTTAGCATGTTATTTTTAAATTTCCAAGAGCACAGTGGCTGGTCGCTGATTGTTTCTTTGCAACGTTCTTATTTTCTGCGTATAGTTGCTGCACATATGATTACTGGCGTTCCTTAGGGCTCTCTTCCGTCTTCTAAGAGGCCGTGTCTCTTTGTGAAATGCGTCTGCGTCCTGCGTGGTCGGCGGAACTGCTCGCTCTCACTGTTCTGTGCTTCTTCACCTGCCTCACCAGCGTGCAGCCAAGTCAGTGACACAGTCGCAGCAAAGAAGAGTCGGCAGTTTGGAAGGTGACAGACGACGGACTGCTTTCATTTGTCGTCATGAACACCCCCTAGATGCTTACTGATTCTTTGTATTTCTCCTTTTGCCGGGGAATGGGTCACTAGATCAAACACAAAAATGAAGCTGCAAAGGGACAGCTAAGAAGGAAACTCTCCGTCATCCCTGAGTCCTCACTGAATGCGGCCGGCCTTTCCCCGATCCCTAACTCTGAATCCCCCGGCACTCCGCCTTCTCCCTTCCCCTCGGTGACAAGAAACAGATCCCCGGGATGAGTTACTCCCTTCATCCAGGAAGGGGGCTGAATTAGTCAAGAGCAAACTGGAAAGAAAGACTTCTATGAGGCTTCAGGAAATACTTAGCTAATGAGAAGACAGACTTTGCGGCGGCTGCCCGCCTTTGTCTTCTCTGCTCTCTGCTTGCCATGACATCAGGCATGTCTACCTTTTCCATTGGATCGCTCCAAATGAAGAGAATTCACTAAGCTGCAGAAGCTCCTCGTTGGAAGTTACGCGGTAGCTCTTTGGAAATACAAGCGCAGGCTGAATCAGACAAAAAGCCCTTGTTATCTGGGCATCTTGCAAGACTTGAACCTGTGTGCGTGGACTGGGGTCAGGACAAGCAGATCATGACAGCAGATACAGATCAACCCCCTGTGTTGTGGAGATTCTTCTGCTGGAGGCGCTCCCTCCATCTCCCATAGCACAGTACCACAAACTGGGGGTTACTTTGCTTAAAACAACAGCCATTTATTCTTTCATGGTTCTGGAGACCAGAAGTCTGAAACCGAGGTGTCAGCCGGCCACCCTCCCTCAAAACCTCTAGGGGATGATTCCTACTTGCGTCTGGGGATTGCTGGCCATTCTGGGCTTGTGGCTGCCTCCCACCAGCCTCTGCCTCTGTCCCCACAAGCTGTCTTTCCTCTGCATGTGTCAGTGGCTTCAGGCAGTGATCATAGAAGGATGCCAGTCGTTGAATTTGGGGCTTCCTTTATTGCAGAATGACTTCATCTTAACTAACTCACCTGCAAATGCTTGTTTTGAAATAAGGTCATATTTTGAGGTTTGGGCGACGTGAATTCTAGGGAACACTATTCAACTCAGTACATGTGCCAAGAATGACTTATTTTCCTACCACCCAAAATTCAGAGCATCACCTTCCCTTTCTGTTCTCTTTATTGTTGCAAAATTCCCGTGTGTGATTGATTGCGTTTTGCAGAGAGGGCTGTACTGGTACATCTCCCATTCCACCTGCTCTAACGCTGTGACAGGTGGGCTTATGGAGTCTATGTCTCCCTCTTTGAACTTGGATGGACCTTTCGACTAAGAACAAAGCGGTACTGACAATGAATGACTTCTGAGACTAGGTCGTAGAAAACTAGATATGGTTTCGGCCTTACACACATGCTTTTGCTCTCTCTCTCTCTCTTTCTCTCTCTCTCTCTCCCCCCCCTCTTTCTCTCTCTCTCACTGTCTCTCCTTGTGCTTTGGCACCTGAGCTGCTATATAAGAAACCCAGTCCTGCTACCCCAACCCCGCCATGCTGGAGAGAGCACTTGGAGAAACCACATGCAGACAGAAAGAGACGCCCAGGGAGCCCCAGGTGTTTACCAACCAGCTGAGCCACTCTGGAATGACCAACCTACAGAAACCAGAAGAGGGAATAAATGACGATTGTTTTTTGAAAGATTAAGCTTCGGGGTGGGGTTTCATGTAGAAAATGGATATCTAATTCATTGCCACTTCAGGAAAATGGAGAATCTGCAAGAGGGCTTCTCTTGCAAATCCCAAAGGCCACTTGCCTGTTGAATTGGTCGAACCTCTTCATTATTAGCTGATGCTGGGCCCCAAGAGAGGAGCGTCTCCAAGACACAAAGAGCTTCTCCCTACGTGGTTCTCCCGCCCCTCAACCAAACCTCTCCCACGTGCTGAAGCTCTAGGAAGTGGAGGCAAGAAGTGACAAGAGCAAGTGACTTAT